ATGTGTGTGTATATATATGTGTATGTGTATCTATATCTATATCTATATCTATATCTATATCTATATCACATTTTGTGTATCCATTTATCTGTCAATTGACGCTTAGGTTGCTTCCACCTTTGGGCTATTGTGAATAATGCTACTATGAACACAGGTGTACAAATATCATCCCAGAAGTAGAATAGCTGGGTCATTTGGTAGGTCTATCTTTAACTTTGTGAGGAACTACTATACCTTTTTCCATAGGAGCTGCACCATTTTACATTCTCATCAACAGTTCACAAGGGTTTCAACATCTCCACAATCTCATCAACACTTGTTATTTTCTCTTGTTTTAACGGTAGCCATGCTAATGGGTATGATCATGTAAGGTGTAAAAAGATATATGCCACTGTCTTTTATTCTAGGATTGTGTCTTTTCTTACTTTTTTTAAAAGTTAAAATCTCCTTTCTTTCATCAAATGATGGCAATCATACATGTCTTTTTAAAATATCCTTATATGGAAAAATTAAAAGTTGGCATTGCTATGTCAATTCCTGCAATTAAAAGAAAATGTTTAGGTCATGTGATCCAAGTCTAGAAATCTATTGGGCAAGAAAGAGCAGTAAATGCACTAACACTTGCTTGGGGTAAGAAGAGAATGTGTTTAAAAGACAAAAAGAAAGAAAATAAATGGATTCTACCATAGATGCAATAGGAATAGAATAACAGATCGCCTAGTTCAAAACCAATCTCATTAACTCTAATCTAAAAGGGACAGTAGATGGGCATCAGAGACCGCAGAGTAGCACCCTGCCTCATCCCCACCCCACACTTCCGGCTGTATTTAGAAATGCTACACTACATGGAGGCCATCTGATAGCAAAAAGTCTAGAAAAAAATCATCTAATGCACACTGTTCAGCTTTTCAAGATTTCAGATGTTGTAGAGCTATTGTAGAGCTAAAACCATTCAAGTTTCTATACCTTGTTCATAATTCTTAGCACCAGGAGTTCGTGGTGCTAAATTCATATGGCAGAATTTGCAAGGGATTGTATCACAGCGTTGCTCAGAATATCCAACCCAAGTAATATAAATGAGATGAAGCCATATATTAGTGACTGGCTTTTTAACCAATAAGAATGCGAAGAGATGAGTTGCCGTGTCCTTTTAAAAGTTGTTATCTTGAAGGCCATAAACATATTTTAGTGCTTTTTGGAACAAATTCTCTTGAATGACTCCCCAGGGCAGTAAATCTCTATGCATTCAGAATGGATGTGATGTTTGGAAATAACCAAAAGTGATTCAGAACCACATCTGGTGAAGATGACTGGAATCACACAGGGCAATGCTAGTGTCATCAAAAAGAGGAGATATAACTACAAAACAATAAAGCTAATTTGTAAACCTATCTGAAGGCAATTCCAAAAGAGGGATTCCAGAAACATTTTGAGCAATGGAAGCATTATCGGTAAAAGTGTGTAGGTACCCAATTTGACTCTCTGGAGAAAAACCTACAAATTTAAACTCTGGTATGCATATCTGAGGAAAAGCAAAACAAAACAAAAACATTGCTTTCCAAGGATACCACATAACTCACTGCCTTGGAATGCCAAACACAAACTGGTAACCCAGAGGCCATATCTTGGCCCACACTTTGGTTTTCTTTGCCTCGCATAATATTTTCTTAAAATACTCTGAGTATTTAAATTGGGAGATCTAAATTTCTTTAAAATCTCAATATCTGACTAATCATGAAAAATCAACCTAATTATGCTGTCATTATCAGGCATGCTCTGGAGCCAGAATGTCTGAGTCTGAATCCCAGCTCTGCTGCTTCCTTTTTGACCTTGAAGTTAACCTCAGCACCTTAGGACTCAAAGTAACTCAAGATATTTTGCTCATCTGAAAAATAGGGATAGTAATAGCACCTCCAGCCCTGGGTTATTGTGAGCTTAAAATGAAATAATCTCCTTGCCTCAACAAATAGAAACTATTATCTGGGAACATTGCACCCTCTCTTCTGTAGGAGCTGAGCAGTGGCTGCCCTGTTTATACAGGGTAAACATGCTCCGGCTTGACACAGTTCCCATCTGGGCCACTTCATCCAATTATGTGACCTGCCTGGCCCCTATGGTCATTTTCAGTCTGCAAACCCTGCCTTAAAATTATAGATCCAGCCAAACAGCCACATTTTAAAGTAAAGAAAGAATCAACTCCAAATCACAAAGTTAGTCAACAGTAGTGCTCACCGGCTCTCTGCCCATCTAGGGCCACTTTCAGTGCTCTTATATTGTCCACACAATCTTTGCCCACAGCAAAAGTTCTCACCTAGTATTCCAGTGAATTATAGCAGGGCCACAAAAACACTTACAAGGCACAGACTTGCAGAGAGAATGGAATTTCTTTCCTTCATCTATAACAGATATTCTTCCCAGAAGAGCAGGAATAACTTAGACTTGCCAATGAAAAATATTTGTATCTCTTCCAACCTAAATTGTCTTCTTTCTATTTAAAGCTTTAGTCTGTTGAAAATTAATTGAACTCCTTATCAGGACTGTTTAAGCAGTCTTGTTGGTATGACTTTATCTCTCTGATTTTTTTTTAAATCCACAGTTTATTATAAGCACAATTAACAGTGTCATTCTCAGATAAAATCCTTAAATTAACCTGATGATGGATTTTTTGAGACAGCAATGTAACTTATCTACACTTCCCAAAAATTGGGAAAATTGTAAAATTGTAAAATTGTCCATTAACTCAATTTTCATATTCTGTGAAAAGTCTGTGACTAACTTTTCCATTCTTGTCCTAATCCATTTTTCACAGAGCAGTGTACGATCAGTTCTGAGTTTTGACAAATGCATAGTCGCATAGTCACCCCACAATCAATCAAGATGTGAAATGGTTCCATCACTCCCCCGCAATTCTCTAGGCCCATTTGTAGTCAACCCCTCATTCCACACCTGGACCTTGGCAATCATTAATCTGTTTTCTGTACCTACAGTTTTGCCTTTTCCAGAAAATCACATAACTCAGGGAAGATAGTCTTAGAAGTTGGGCTTTTTTTTTATTTAGCATAATGCATTTGAGATTAACCATGTTGTGTGTTTCAGTAGTTCACTCCTTGTTATTTCTAAATCCATTGTATAGATGTACCGTAGTTGAATATTCTGTTAACCAGTTAAAGGACATTTGAATTGTTTTTAGTTTTTAGTAATTATGAATGAAGCTGCTCTAAACAACTGTATTCAGGTTCTCCACCTGGGAGGCACAGGTAGGTCTCAGTTTTCTCTTTTTTGGCGGTCAGTTACCCCTCATCCATTAACATTTTATTCTCAAAAAAATTTTTTTTTGTAGAACTGAGTTTTTTAAAAATTTTAATTAGTTTCAAGTATACAGTACTTTGGTTAGACGTCTATATAGTTTGTAAAACGATCCCCCCAATTGCTCTCTCCCTTCCCTGACCCTCCACCTAGCCAACTTGTTCATTCTAATTGCATTCCCTATGCTGTGCTCCCCATCCCTGTGTCCATCCATCAGCTACTAATTTGTACTTCTTTAACCCTTCACCCCATTCTCCCAGTCCCCCAAACCCCTCCTCTCTGTCCACCAAATTGTCCACTATATTTGTGAATCTATTTTTGATTAGTTTGTTCTTTTTATTCCTTAGATTCTGCATATAAATGAATTCATATAGTGTTTATCTTTCTCAGTACGACTTACATACCTTCTAGGTCCATCAAAGCAATATGTTTTTCCATCTCCTTCCTTTTACTCTGTGTCTTTTAATCTGAAGTGAGTCTCTTATAGGCAACATGAGGGGTCTCGTTTTCCTTTCCATTCATCCACTCTTTTAGGTGGAGCACTTAATTCTTTTCCATTTAAGGTACTTATTGATAGAAATGTAGTTGTTACCAGTCTTTATTCCTGTTTTTGATACATGTTTTTTCTCCTTAAAGAAGTCCCTCCAACATTTCCTGTAATACAGGCTTGGTGGTGATAAATTTCTTCATCTTATTTTTGTCTGAAAAGCTCTTTATCTGTCCTTCAACTCTAAATAATAGCTTCGCTGGATAAATTATTCTTGGTTGTAGATCCTGGGTCTTCATCCTGTTGAATATTTTTTGCCAAGCCCTTCTGCCCTGCATAGTTTCTTTTGAGAAATCATCTTCCAGTCTTATGGGTGCTTCCTTGTAAGTAACTAACTGCTTTTCTCTTGCTGCTTTTAAGATTCTCTCTTTGTATTTAACCTTTGGCATTTTAAATATGATGTGTCTTGGTGTGGGCCTCTTTGGATCCCTGATTTTTGGAATTCTCTGAGCTTTCTGGGGTTTTATGTCTATTTCCTTGACCAGGTTAGAGAAGTTTTCTATCATTATTTCTTCAAACAGCTTTTCAACATCTTGAT